AGATAGATGGATATGAGCATGTCTGCAGTGGTTGTCAAGTTTCCTCAATTCACTGGGTATAGTTCCGTTAGAAAAAATAAGGGGAATGCTAATTTATTTTCAACAGCAGGGTTTCTATACTTGAAATTAAACTCTTTACACATATGTCAGCAGGGAAAGAGTCCCTTAATTTTCCTTTTTGTTCTTTTGTTGTTTTTCAATTGTATCTAGAGGAGAGATTAGAATAGAAATGCTGTATTCTTCCATCTTTAATTAGAGGCTTCATACTGTTAGATCATGGGCCCTCTAGCTGCCTCTCAATTCTCTCTCATAAATCAGAGTACACCTTCTGCAACTCTCTCTGGGACACAGAGTTGAAAAAAAGCTCTGGCATAACCTGTAACCCTTGCTTCCCACTCAGGGCAGCTGCAGAATTAGGTTATGATATTATCTAGTGCCTACTGCTATGCACATGGACTAAGTTAGGCTAGGTCAGTTGGCCTGAAGTTTGCCTATCCACTTATGAAAAGTCAGTGGGAGACAGAAACTCCCTTTGCTCTTTTAAACTGAAGGATAGGCTCTCTCTCTCCTGGCAAGGCTCCCTTTTAACTGCTGATGGCTTTGATGCTATCTCCCATATTGCTGTCCCACTATAAGGCCTAATCATGCTTGCCTATGACTGCAGGGCTCCCCACCAATGAATCTCATATGGCGAGTAAACTCATAGCAGTCCTTTCCAATTTACTTTCTAATGCATTTTCATTTTCATTTACTTTCTAATGTGTGATAGCTTTTTAAAATAAAAGGTGAAAAATAAAATTAAGATAATAAACTAAATTATATGAACTTGATATTGACATTTTGAAAAACACAAAAATATTATAGGTAAGTCCATGTTCCTTGAGTTATCTAAAGTGTAGTATTTGACTTTTCTCAATTTTCCAACAGGCAATTTTATTTGGGAATTTTCAATTAACTGTGTAAACAGAAAGGCATCCTGTCCCAATGCTCTGTGTTCAGTTGGTAAAAGTAGCCTAAGAGACTGAGGTTGGAGGATTCTTTCAGACTAGGTTAGTCTTTGTAGACTTAGTAAAACTCTCCAAAATGCTTACTTAAAATTCAGCAGGCAGGGTCTATTAACCAAGCTCAGAAGAAAAAAAAAAGTAAAATCTGGTGATCTGACTGTGACCCAAAATACCCATTAAAAACTGCACAGATGTGGTGGTGTACATCTGTAATTCCAGCACTCCCACAGTGAGGTGGGAGGTGAGACTGGGCAATGTTTACAAAGATTATTGGCCAGTTGGTCTGGAGTATGTAAAATATCAGAAATCACACAAAAGTAGTTGGAAAGAGACACATGATATGCACACACCTGCACTCATATACACTATGTGTACACACACACACACACACACACATACACACACACACTTATTTTAATGCAAAAACTTAGGACACACAGAAATACGAAACTAGGCAACTCAAGAAGAATAAAAATTGACTTCAAAGAAACTAAACTAGAAGTTATTTTTTTGTTTTGTTTTATTTTTTTGTATGAAGACAAAGTATCCATCTACAACTAGTGCTGGGCAATCATGGACAGCTAACATGATGGAGTTTTTGTGTAGCTGAATGAAGAAGGCCTTCATCATTAAGCCTGCATAAACTAAAAGCCTGACTATTACATCACTAGGCAAATATAGAAACAAAATGATGCTATCTTTTTAATAATCCCATGATTGCCACAATGGTTTCAGCAACATTGATTGAATAGCCCTTCTCTCCAATCCAGAGAAATCTCTAGGAATGTCAGTAACACTTTTCTTCACAATTCTTCACAATACTTGTGGTGATGACCACTGTGTCTCAGAGACCATGTCTTTCTTCTTTTGTCATCTACTGGCTTGTTATCTAAACCATGACCATTTTATAGGTGAATTGTCCTTTTACCTTGTGTAGGGATATTTTGAGATGCCTACAGGAAGGCTTGACACTTAGTAGTCAACTCACCTGCCAGCAGTAATGCAGAAGCTAGTTCAGAAGTCACTGTGTGTGTGTGTGTGTGTGTGTGTGTGTGTGTGTGTGTGTGTGTGTGTGCGAACACACATATTTACCTCACAGCACACATGTATGGGTCAAAGGACAACTCCTGGGAGTCAGTTGTTTCCTTCTTTCACAGGTTCTGGGAACAAACTGAGGTCATAAAGCATGTTAAAAACTTCTGAGCCATCTTGCCAGGTTTACTTTACTTTTCGTAGATCCTAGCACTTAGGAGGCTGAGAAAAGCAACTGAAAGTTTGAGGTCAGTCTGGGATGTGGATAGCAAGAAACCTCATTTCAAAAAATGGTAAGGTTTAGGAATGGCACACAAGAGTCTGCTATAACCAGGCGGTGGTGGTTCATGCCTTTAATCCCAGCACTTGGGAGGCAGAGGCAGGTGGATCTCCATGAGTTCAAGACCAGCCTGGTGTACAAAAGCTAGTTCAAGGATAGCCTCCAAAGCCACAGAGAAACCCTATATCGAACCCTCCCCCTCAAAAAGACTTTGCTGTGTGGATGGACTGAGGAAGGGTCATGCAGGGAAGCTGCTGACACTCAGTTCTGAATGAGGCAGAGGGTCATTTGGAGCAAAGAACTGACCAGGCTTTCTTAGACATCAGCATACATAGACCAACTCTGTAGCCACGTGGACTAGCTATCTGGTGCTCCTTTTTGCTGCTATGTTCTGTGTTTTGACTGAACCTTACACGATGGTCAAGAATGAAATCAAAGACTGGAGCAAAGACGGTCTAAGAGAACCAAAATAAAGCCTAGTTCAAGTGACGCCATTCATCACTCTCTCAGGGCCAGAACTGACATTCTGATTCTTTCCTTAAATAATAATGCCCAACTTAGAAAAATATATATCAATGCCCAAACTGCGAGGGCTGGGGGATGAGGGAGATTTTCATCCCATCTGAGAGTTATTTAAAGTCGTTGAGATAATAAACCCTTCATTCTCATAACAAGAGTGAGATAATGAGATGTTAATCCTTCCAAGATTTAATAGATTTATTATTCTAATGAGCTACACCCGACAGCTTTGAACTGTACGTAAAAGCATATTAATCTTTTGACAGATGTTGAGGGTTTTTTGTCACTTGGTCTGGGTGTGTGATTAGAGAATTATAGCTGAAGTTTCTCATTAGAGTTTTCCTTATGGCATAGCGGAATATTGAGGATGGCTCTCTCTGTCATCCTGAATTTATTGAATTCAACTATGGGAATAAAACTTTGCACAGCAGAAATATGAGGAACAATGATGGAGGAGATTAAGTTCTGTGCAGGTTCAGTGATAAACAGAATTAAACAGAAACAGTAGAGGTTCATATCTGCTGTGCATTGTGATTCAGTCTCATAAATTTAACAGCCTTGATCATTTAACAAATACATTCTGAACACCAGATTTTTGCCAGGCACAGTGCTAGTGCCAGGAATGAAGAGCAATCAGGTTATGGGTCTGCCTTGGAAGATCTCAGCACAAAGGGCACTTCTGGGAGAACCAACTACTGATTTCTGGCTAGACAAGGGGAAAATGAGCACCAGGCCTGCTGGACAAAAAGGCTCGGTGTAGTGGAGAATGATTGTGGCTGAGATATAAGAATGAGTAGGGGACCAGCAATTGGTGGCTGCTAGGAGAGGAAGAGTCAGTTTACAGATGCAGCCCATGAGAGGCTACCCATGCTGTGGTAGGTGGCCCTATATCCATGTGTATACTAGTCTCACTTAGTGAACTCAGTGAGATTTTAAAAAGTTTACATGAAATTGGGGAGGGAACGTGGACATTGGGGGATAGAATGAAGATGGAGGTTTTGAAAAACATGTGAAATTTGCAGTTACAAAATCTGTAATATACTGGGCATGTAGTACACACCTGAAAATCCTAGCACTTGGGTGGTAGAGGCACGAGGATGGGGGACTAAAATCCAGCTTAGGCTACATGAGATTCTGCATGGATACAATAACAATAGTGAAAAATTATAATAATTTTAAAGCTAGATGTGATAGTTCACACGTGTAATGTCATCACTCAGACAACTGTGCCATGAGGACTGCACTTTGGAGGGCAATTTGAGCTACAAAGGGGACTAGATGGCTTACCTAAACTTATCTCAAAATGTGTAAGCCAAACCTAAATGATTGTCGCCAAAATAGTATTTATTTATACAAGGACCACTACATGCTTGTTTTCTCTACCATGTCATGTAAGGTGATAACAATAAATAATGCTATGCTGCACTCACCTTTGAATATTGTCACTCAGAATAGTCCCTATCATTTATTGTACTAATAGACATTTATATAATAAATCCAGAGGAATAGAGAGAGGAAGAAGGAGAAAAGGAGGCACAAATTGATCTAAGGAGTGGTAGAGACTAAGGAGCCTTCAACAGAAAGCACTGATGGTAGGTGGACATTGGTGATGTTCCCTACAGTTGGTTATTGGTGATGTATACATCTGCAGTACATGGGCAAATAAACTAAGCAGAGTGTCATGAAACAAGCATTAGGTTTACTATACTTCAGCATCAGATCCTGAAATGTCCTTTTCTACTTTATTTCATTTTGCATAATTTAAAAACAAATTACCTAACACTATGACAGTATTGAAAAATACAACACAATACATCAATACAGTGAGGATATGTGGCTGACAGCTTGACAAGAGAGAGAAAGAAAACTCACGGGCCATGAGATGGTAAAGGAACTGAAAAATATTAGGAACATTGATTGTGGTTTTTAAGTCACCAAAAACTGCTATGGGTCATGAAGAAGAGAAAGACAGTGATCCAGAGCCAGAAACTTGAGGATATGGGGGAAGTGACCAGGAAGGGAGCAGGTAACAATGCTAGGAGAGAGGATGAGTTCTACAGGTTATAGAATGTTTCAGATGAATTAGAAATCTGAATTAGTTGTTTTTTCTTGTTGCTATGACGAAATACCTGACAAAAGAACTTTAAAGAAGGAGGGGTTTATTTTGGTTCGTGGTTTGAGGGCACTGTCTATCACGTCAGAGGACTCACCATGGAAATATCTTGAGACAGATGGTCACATTGCTTTCCCAGTCAGGAGTCAGAAAGAGGTGAAAACTGATGCTCAGCTCTCCCCCTTTTATTCAGTCTAGGACTGCAGACATGCAATGACACTGTATTTAGGGTCAGACTTTTCATTAAATTAACCCAATTTAGAAACAATTTATGCTTCTCATAGGTGATGCTAAGTCTATGTCAAGTTGACAATTGATATTAAATATCACAGGATCTTCTGTGAGCAGGAAGATTGTGTGTGACAAACCATGAAGAGCAAGAGGGGAACTCTCCTATGTTGTGGGAGAAACAAGATTCACACTTTAGATGGTTTCAGGGGCCATGGAAAGTTAGGGCATCATCACAGAGAGGGTGAAACCTCACTTGAATTGAAGACTGAAGTCTACACCTTGTTATCAAAGTAGATAGAAGTGGTCCAAGAAGTGAAATAGCTCTTTAGAAAGGACAGAGCTAAGAACCAGATTTGTAAGTAGAGAGTATAAAGGGCTTCCATACTGTGGTGGAGGCATGCTAGACTAGCATGTATCTAATTTATTTTCCGTAGTAAAAGCTCTTAGACAAAAATCAACAAGAGGGAACTTGTTCTGGATTCAGTGCAACGGAGTCAAGATGGCAGGAATTTAAACCATTGGCTACATCATCTTGTATCATGGAGGCAGAGAGTAATAAATAGATGCTAACATTCAGCCCACTGTCTCTGATTAAACAGTCTAGTATCCTACATAGGGAAAGCTGCCAATCACTGTGAGTGGGTCTTCCCACCTCAATTAATATAATCAAGACAATCCTCCACAGGCATGTCCACAGGCCTATCTTCCATGTGATTCTAGATTTTGTCAAGTTGATAATTACTACTAGCTGTCACACCAGTTCTAAGGTCTTTGTTTCCTTTCTTCTTCCTGGGTATTTTAGGAACTTGTGAGCCTGAAGGAAGATTTCTTCTCCAGGAGCATGACATCTGCACAAGTGCTTCACCTTAAAAGGTCTGCCTCCTACTATGAGAGAGGACCAGAGTCCTTGTTCACAGCCGTGTTCCAGCAGGGTAACAGGTTCAGAGAAGGAATTCCTGCATTATGAGGCAGATAATTGGGTTGTCTTTGGTGGTTTGTCCAAAGCTACTCAAACATTTGTCATTGGTTATTCTACCAAAGACTCACTGCGCAACATTCAACAAGGGTGAAAATTGTGCCACCAAGAAATCTTCCGAGAGGAAGTGAGATCTGAACTGGGTCTTGTCAGTGGCTTAGAACAAACTGAAAGCTTTAATACATTAGTGTGCCAGCATTAAGATTAAAGTGGCAAGCTAACTTTAGAATGCTTTTTAAAGTATAGTCTATTCTAGAATACGAAGTATAAGGTAGACAAATGGCTTGATGGGTGAAGTCTTGCCATGTAAGCATGAAAACTTGAGCTTGGATTCCCAGAACCCTTGAAAATTGAGAGGTGTAGCATCAATATGTGATCACAGTGCTCCTAATGCAAGATGGATGAGGTTTAGGGAGGAAGAGAATCCCCAGAAATTCATGGGGCAACTAGCGTTCACACAGTGACAAAACAATAAAGAATGTTTACTCAAACCATGTGGAAGGCAAAGACTGACACCCAAAATTGTCCTTCACATACACACACACCATATGTGAGCATGTGCATACCTACACTCACACACACAAACAGGCACACATGGTTATACACATATCACAATACATATATACATAAAGAAAATATGATCCAGTTTGGAAACACACCATTTTCTGAAAGAAGATGTGAGCACGTGCATACCTACACTCACACACACAAACAGGCACACATGGTTATACACATATCACAATACATATATACATAAAGAAAATATGATCCAGTTTGGAAACACACCATTTTCTGAAAGAAGATGCATGATGGATGACTAATGTCAGAGTTCTCCATGGAGTATTATCACTATGTAGAGGAAAAGGTGGTTTATGACAGTCTCCATCAAGAGGCTCTGTTAAACTTTTCCTGGGGTTGGTTGTGGTGGATAGCTTCAAAGTCTGTTCAAGGAACTAGTGACTGACCAAAGGAATGATTCGATTTATTGGGGTTATTTACAGAAATGTGGAGGATCCCCAAACAGTAGCCTCACCACAAAGTCCTACCCCCCTCATGAGTGATGGCCTCATGGAAGCTGCATCACAGAGTCCCCTTCCATTAATATCCCACTTTCTATATACTCTAGCATTTCCTAAAACTGCCGAGGAAGGGCAGGAGGGAAAGTAACTGCTGTACTACTCACCTAACTTCTTCTAGTGAGTATTAACAGCTCCATTACTATCACCATGGATCTAGCTATCAGTTTTTGTTCAGTTATAGCTAACATCTATTGTTCAGTTAGTTGCCATGGTTACCAAAGTGAGGCAGTCTTTCTCCAAAATGGCAAAGGGTTATCATGCCATACTTAAAGCAAAAAAAACAAAAACAAAAAACAAAAAACAAAAAAAAACACAGGCAACTCTGATGTTGCTTTCTTGAGGAACTTAAGTTGTCACAGTCTCCTTCTATGCTTCAGCACCCTCATCTGTACAACAGAGGTCCTCTATTCCAACACCATGGCACATTTAATATCAGAAGTCTAATGTCTTTTATGTTATAAAATACTTTATCTGGGGCCAGTGGGATGGCTCAGAGGACAAATGTGCTTGCTGCTGTAGGAAATAAATTATAAATTATTTGCGTCCATTTATGGAGAGAGCTTGCTTAGAGCTCATCAAAGAGTCACAGATAAACAGGACATTCTTGGCCACTGTCCCCTAGTCTAAGACTGGTTGGTGCCTGCTTGTCTTAGAACTTCTCTGAGAGTTGGAAAGTTGTAGGCAGGTTGTCTTGTGGGTGAACCACAATCAGAAAAGGGGGCAGTCTCAAGGCCCAGAGTGTTCATTAGATAAGGCTTTGCACCTGGAATCAATAGGATGACGGGATTGAGAACAGGGTACTCTCTGAAGTACCAGACTATCGGGAAAAGAGAGCAGGAATTTCTTACAGCTAGGGCCTTTAGAAATCACTGTCTTGTGTCAGGTCATCATGCCAGCCATTTTTGTCCCTCTTCTGTGCTGTGTTTTTGCAGAATGATATAGTAAAAACTGCTATCTTTTCACTGGTCTTTTCAATGTGATTATAGAAAAAGGGTTTTGTTTTCAACACCTCCAGACATGATGAACTGAGGTCAATTTTTGGTGTCCACGGGGTGGAAGAGGTGGTGGTAGAGAACTTTCTTCTCCAAGTTGTCCTCTTGACTTTTACACATGTGCTATGGCATGTATGTGTGGTGTGTGTGTGTGTGTAATTATCTACAAACAAATGTATAACACAAAATAAAAATATTTATGGGGTCAGGTCATTAAACTCATCGTAATATTGATATAATAAAGTATCCTTGAAAACATTGATTTATTCATCTCTGACTACATAGCAGAATAGTAAACTACATTATCAGTAACATTAATAATGAATCAAAACTCATTCTTTAAAAAAATCCTTATTGGGGTCGAGTAGATTGCTCAGTATCTAAAGTTTGCCAAGCCCAAGGCTCAATAGATTCCCTAGGCCTCCTCACTGACAACCCAGATTCAGGGGGTCTTGATCAGTCCCATGCTGGATTCCCAGGCTGATGCCTGGGATTCAAGAGTTAACCTTTGTCTGGTCAGCTGTTTCTGGGGGGTTAAACCAGCCCAGTCTTAATCCCTTTGATCATCAGTCCTCCCTCTCTGTTACTGGCTTTCTTGAGTTCAGCTCAGTACTTAACCAAGGGAGTCTGCCTCTTCTTCAATCAGCCACTAAATGAAGTTTCTGTTTCCCAGACTTTCTGGCCATAGGATTGTAGGCTGCCACTCCCCAGATCTATGTCTAAAATCCATATATGAGAGAGTACATGTCATGTTTCTCTTTTTGTGACTGGGTTACCTCACTCAGGACCCAAGTATACACACGGACTTTGGACTCCCATAGAACAATGTGAGGTGCACTCTCACCCTGAACTCTTGGGGAAGGGTCTAGGCCCTGCCCTATATGAAATGACAGACTATGGACACCCCCATGGAGGGCCTCACCCTCCCTGGGGGAATGAGGGGATAATGGGGGGGTTGGGGGAAGGGCACGGGAGGAGGGGAGGGAATGGGAGAGGGACCTGGAACTGACTTGTGAAGCAACCTCGTTCTTATCTAAATTTAAACTGGAAAATAAAATATAAAAAAAATAAAGTTTGCCTAGCAACTATGAGGATTTGAGTTAAGATTCCCCAAATCACTGAGCTGAACTCCTGGAATCCAGTTGCAGAGAGGGAGGAGTGATGAGCAAAGGGGTCAATATCAGGCTGGGGAAACCCACAGAAAGAGCTGACTTGAACAAGGGGTAGCTCATGGACCCCAGACTGACAGCTGGGAAACCAGCAGAGGACTGAACCAGGCCCCCTGAATGTGGGTGCCAGTTAGGAGGCCTGGGCAATCTATGGGGCCTCTGGTAGCAGATCAGTATTTATCCCTAGTGTATGAATGGACTTTGGGAGCCCACTTCCCATAGAGGGATACTTTCTCAGCCTAGACAAATGGGAGAGGGCCTTGCTCCAAATGATATGACAGACTTTGAAGATCCCCCATTAAAGGACTCACCCTCCCTGGGGAGCAGAAAGGGGATGAGATGGGGGGCTAGTGGGAGTAATGTGAGGATGGGATGGAGAGAGAACTGGGCTTTATATGTAAAATAATGTTGTTTCTAATTTAAATTTTAAAAAATAAAAAAGATTCCCCAAATCTATGCACCTTTAAGTCTAGTGTTCCTTTGGGTATGTGGGGGACAGAAGCAGGAGGAATTCCAGAGGATCACAGGTCAGCCTGCCATACACTGTGCCAAATGTCTCAAGCAAGGAAGAAAGTGAGAACCAACAGAGTTATCCTCTGATCTCCACAGGCTGGTGCTTGTACACACACACACACACACACACACACACACACACACACACACACACACACACACACACACGGGAAGGATGCCCAGCTGTGCATATACAAGTACACAGATCACACACACACATCGTACACACATTATCTACACATGCACATGTATGCACATAGAAGAATGTATGACTATGCCTACATAAGCACACAGAACATACACACACACACACTCACACACACATTTTTGGAAAGCCATGCTAAAGCGGAAGAAACTTTTTTTCAAATTTTAAACTAGAGGGATAGATGTACTTGTTAGAGATGAGTTCCCCTTTTAAAACTGATATGCCTAGAGAATGGTTAAATGATAACTATAGGAAGAGGAAATAGTCTCAGGGGTTTTAAAAAAAGCCAGCACTGAGCTGCAGTCCTGCATGGAAGCAGGAGGGGAGATGATGTATTTGTCTTCTCACCACTCTGTTCCTCTTTCCTGACAGCTCATTTATCCAAGGACCTCTCTCATGCTGAGCTTTGTAAATGACCAGCTTCGTGCAGTTTGCTAGAAAGAGGTAAAATGCAATTTCTGATCTTTCAGGAAAATATTTTCCTGTAATGGAGTGATTGAGTACAAGGTACTACTGATAAGGTTTCTAATAACCTCCTAGAGATTAGAGAGAAAACTGAACAGAAAGCGCGCTATCTCTAAGTTTAAATGTGCGTGGCTAAAACTGAAGGAAGTTGGGCATGGCAGAAGCGTAAAACACCTTTTTGCGTTATGTTCATCTGTTGTTACTTATCATCAGGAATCAGCTATAATTCCTTTCTCTGAGACAGGAACCAAGTTTTTAATGTGAAGCTACAGATAACACTAGTTGATCTAGTCATCTGTTCCCCAGTCATTCTGCATGGTCTAAAATAATGCGTAGAAAATAGAAACCCAGATCTTTGTAGTTGTAATGATTATAAAAGAAAAATGTGTGTAAAACCACCACTTCAAGGCTATTGTCCAGCAGCTTCTCAGAGTTGGTGCATTTTCCCCAGGAATGAAGAGGAGGCTCATGAGTCTCAGGCTGTAAAAGCCTTCACTCTCTGTGGAAGCCGAACTTAGATTATTCACTATAACTTCCCCTTTGAAGCCTCCTCAATGCCCACTCCACTACCTCCTCCCTAGGCTACAGAAGCAGTAAATATCTACTGGGGACAGAGACTGACCAGCAGAGCTGCTAAGAGGAGAGTCTCAGACCTGCAGAGAGCTCTGGAGTTGCTACTTTTCTGAGTCATCACTGTGTTAGGTTGGGCTTCCAGTAACGTAGCATCTTTGAGTAGTTGCTGTTTGTGTAAATGAGGACCTGAAGGAGGCTGAGTAGTGAAAATCCTTTGGTCTGCCTTGGTAACACAGAAGGAAAATATCTGCAGGACATACATAGAACTACATATAGGACTGTAACTGAGAAGAGGGTCCAGTAGTGAGTGTCTTTGAAAGACCTTCATTCTGTGTGCACACTACCCTGATGTATCCCATCTTGCTTTTGTGGTATGAGGGGGGTTTGAAACTCAGCTATCTGTGCACTGTCTCTGATTGTTAACTGTTGGCATGACTACCTGAAATAAACTACAGACGATTCTCAACCCACTGTGGGGTTATATACTGATAACACCATTATAAACTAAGCACATTTTACCACCAAAGAACATTTATGAAACTCACATGAACACAATTTGACTCCAAAGTACATTTACACCACTAATGCGTTGCTCATCCTAAGTGCTTGCAGGATACTTGCATTAGCCTAGAGCTGAGCACCTTACTTTGTCATAAAGTCCTGCAATTCTCATGGGATTTTTGGAATGCTGTATTGAAAATGGAGTTCAGAATGGGTTTATGAGTCCATTTTTTCATCATGAGAAAGTTGAAAAAGCTTTTAAATTTTTTACTTTTTGTGTATGTGTGTTTGCGTGCCTGTATGAGTTTGTGTGCATCCTGTGTGTACTGGGTACCAGAGGAGATCAGAAGACTGCATAAGATCCCCTGGAACTGGAGAAGAGAATGGTTGTGAGTCACCATTTGAGTGCTGGGATCAGGCCCCAGATCCCCTGTGAGAGCAGAAGTACTACTAACTACTGAGCTATCTCGAATTCCAAGCTGAAAATCTGTAAGTCAAACTGCAGAGTTATCCTTAACAAGGTTGCTGGGCTACTTTGGAGAATACTCAGTAGACAGAACCTACCATGTAAGCATGAGGACTGGGGTTTGGATCCAAAGCCCCCATATAAAAGCTAGGCAGCCATGATAGCCACCTGTAAGCCCAGTGCATAGTAGGTGGAGACAGGGGTTTGCCTGGTAAACTAGACTAGCTGAAGTGGTGAACTTCGGGTTCAGCAAGAGAGCCTGACTTTGTTAGTAAAGTGGAGAGTAATCCGAGAGGGCAGTCAGTGTCAGTCTCTGGCCTCCACAAGCATATGTACACATATGTACTTATCCCAGCACAAATGTGCACCCACACACGTGTGTGCTCACATTCAAACACATGTTCACACTACATATAAATACACATGCAAAACAAGTAAATAAAAGAAAATGAAAGGGAGATGATTTGGCTAATGAAACATGAGACTTGTCACAGCTGAGTGACTCAGAGACTATTGACTCTGTGGTTTATTCTAGAAGTCCTGGACACTGCTGCTGGGTTTGTTTGCTTCATTTAGGAAACTGATGAATTTCATGTTTTGGAAACCTGTGTGTCTGTATCAAGTTAGTATTTGGGGTTGCTATATTGGAACTATGGAAGCAACATTCTGCCTTACCTTGTTATGAATGCTTCCCATTGAAGTTCTAATTTTGATTTCCTCTTTAACCCAGTAATTAATTAAACACATGATCTTAACATCCGGACATATGGATTTTCTTTAGAGTAGCATTCTGTTGCTCTTGTCTCCTTTGATTGAATTTGTGCAGTGAATGTAGCCTCTTTGATTTTTGCTTTTGGAATTTGCTAAGATTTCCTTGGTGGATTAACACGCGATTGCTTCTGTCAAAGCTTCATGTGTGTTTGAAAAGAAAGTGCTTTTTATGCTAGAGAAATTTCCACATATGAATGGATGCTATAATAAGTTTTTCAAGTCTCATTTTTTTAAGCATCATCTACTTTCCTCTAGTTCTGCTAACTAATCTTTGATAAGGTATATGTAAATCTACTTTCATGCTTTTGGGTAACCATTTCTTCTTAATTTCCGTAATATTTTTATTTTTGTGTGATACTGTACCATATACTTACATTGAACAGCTACTTTTTCTTATATATGTGTGTGTGCATGTGCAAGTATTCAAATGTATGTTGTATACATATGAATGCATAAGTATGTGGAGGCCAGAGGATAACCAAGGTTGTCATTCCGCAGATTCCATACACCAAATTAGCTATGCAAGTAGGTCTAAGTAGGGCCAGTAGGCCCCAGGGATCCACCTGCTTCTGCCTCCTTAGTGCTGGGATTACAAGAACACTCTACCTCTCTTGGCTTATTTGACATGGATTCTTGTGGCTGAACTTAGGACTTCTTACTTGTAGGGCAAGAGTTTTACCAACTGAGTCAGTTCCCCTAGCTAGCCCCACCTATATTTACTTTTGAATAAGTAAAAATGTTTTTCTTAGTGGCTAACTATCTTTATAATTTCACAAGCAGTCTACAAGGATCCCACCTTTTCCCAAGTCCTTGTTAACACTTGTTATTTTATTTTTTGTCTATAATCATCTGTATTTGTTACCTTTCTGTGGCCATGATAAAATGCCTTGGCCAAATTCAACACAGAGGAGACAAAGGTTATTTTTGCTTGTTGTTCAAGAGTGATAGATTCCATCATGGTGGGGAAAGCATGACAACAGTTAGTGAAGGCAAGGTCACAAAATCAGAAGCCAACTGAACACATTTTCATGCACACAGGAAGCAAGTGGGGCTGGTTCTTAACACCTCAAAAACCTGTTCCCAGAGACACACTTCCTCCAACAGGCCTGAGCTTCCTACAGGTCCTAGAAACTCTCAACAGCACCATTATCTGGAGACCACACACTCAGATACATGAGCCAATGGGAGTGTTTCTCAGTCCAAACACCACAGTGTGCTATCTTAGTAGATGTCAAGGAATCTCATTGTGATTAGGTGGTTTAATCATAGTTTCTTGGCTATTTGTATCTTCTTTGTAGAAAAACTTATTCAAGACCCTCACGGTTTTCAGTCCAAGTGGTCTTCACTGGTTAGGTGAGTTGGTAGTAGTTTCTTGGATATTTGTATCTTCTTTGTAGAAAAACTTATTCAAGATCCTCACTTATTTCCAGTTATTTCTCTTTTGCTTTTGGTAGCAGCTCATTATGTGTTCTATATATTAAATACTTATCAGATATTTGATTTTTTGTTTCATAGGATGTGTTTCATCTTCTTGATAATTCTCTTTATTTCCCCACACTTTTAGTTCTGATGTAGTCTAGTGATGTCCAGTTTTGCTTCTGTTGTACCTGTTTTGGTATTTTGTCTACAAATGCAGTCAAACTTAAGGCCAAGGACACTGAAACATTATTTGCTTGCAGGAGTTTCATGAGAATATCTTTTCTTCCTCACACCTCTTCTCTGTCTCTGTCTGTCTGTGTCTGTGTCTGTGTCTGTGTGTGTGTGTGTGGGCATACAAATGGTATGTGTGTATGTAGGTAAGAGCACAACCTCATTATTGGTCCTTGCCTTATACCTCACTTAAGGCAGTGTCTTTGTTTTGATACTGTGCATTCTGGGCTAGCTGGCCTATGGGCTTCCTGGTATTTTTCTGTCTTTATGTCCATCTTTGAATAGAAGCACTTGGATTACAGATGTATGCAGTCATGCTCAGGTTTGTGACTTCTGTGATTTGAATTCAGATCCTCATATTTGTGTATAAGTTTTCTCAACACCTTAGTTAATTTTACATGTGTGATGTGATAAGAGGGTTCCAATTTCATACTTTTTTCATGTGATTATTCAAGTGTTCCAAAGCATGTAGAAGAGATCATTTCCCTCCATTCTATGGACTAGGGTAACTTGTCTAAAATTAAGTGACTATGGATGCATGCTTTTATTCATAGACTCTCAATTCTGTCTTATCAGATTTGTTTATCTCTCCTAATGATTATGGCTTTGTAGTGAGTTCAAATTTGAGAAGGTAAGGTCTTCCAAGTTTGGTCTTTAAAATAATTAATTAAAAACATTTTATTCAATACCAAGGTTACATTGTAGCCTTGTGAAATACAGCAAATACCTTCAAGTTCATGTTTTCAAATTCCTGACATGTTATTCTTTGAAGTTTGGGAACAATAAACTTGTATTTCTTGGAACTTTCAGAAATTGGAAAATTATGATTACTTAAAGCACACTTCTAACACTAGTTGGACAGATAAACTCATTTTTAAAGAATAAAATTTGCTAATGTTAGTAGTGTACACAAAGAAATATAACCTCAAAACAAATTTAATTTTTATCATGTTATCTGTGCTCTTTGGAATTCCTTGTTTTTTATGAATTTGAAGATTGACTTTTTTATGATGATGTTTCCTACAAGTTGAAATGTTCCTCTTTAGTTTCCTAAGGTTCAGGAATTTCTAAATGAAAGAATTCTATCCTAGAGAGAGTGTAATACAGAGGTGGTAAACAACTCATAAGT